GGCTAAATTGGGATCAACATTGGCCCGTTCAAGTAGGAGCCTCACAAGTTCCGCGGAAGCAAGTCGGCAAGCCCATGAGAGGGGCGTTCGGCCGTTTTTGTCAGCCAGATTAGGATCAACATTGATTCGTTCCAAGAGGAGCTGCACTACTCCCTGACTCCCCGATTCCACGATCCACGAGAGGGGTGTTCGGCCATTTTTGTCAGCCAAATTGGGATCAATGTCGGTCCGTTCCAAGAGGAGCTGCACCACTTCCGGACTTCCCATAGCTGCGGCCCACGAGAGCGGTGTTCGGCCATTTTTGTCGGCCAAATTGGGATAAACATCTTTTCGTTCCAAGAGGAGCTGTACTGCTCCCTGGCTCCCCATTGCCGTGGCCCACGAGAGTGGTGTTCGGCCATTAGTGTCGGCCAAACTGGGATCAACACCGGTTCGCTCCAAGAGCAGTTGTACTGCTCCCTGGCTCCCCATTTCTGCAGCCCACGAGAGGGGTGTTCGGCCATTCTTGTCCCTGCGATCGGGATCGATGTCTTCACATTTCAGCAGCATGGACACCAACTTCTCGTTGCGAGGTTGAACAGCCCACGAGAGCGGTGTTCGGCAACCATGGTCTGCCAGGTTAGGGTTAACGTCTTCTCGCTTCAGCAAATATTGGACTAAGCAAAGATTTCCGCCGCTGGCAGCCCAAGAGAGCAGTGTCCGGTTATTATGGTCGGGCAAATCGGGACCGACAGAGGCTTCCTCTAAGTTCGATATGCAAGATTCTCCGTGCCAGTGTTCTGCAGCCCATGAAATTGGTGTCCTGCCATCGGCATCCCTGGCCATCCGATTGACATCTGCCCGCTCTGCTAGCAACTTCATTACCGCTTTATGTCCGTACTGGGCAGCCCACGAGTATGGTGTCCGACCTCCGTTGTCTGCAAGCTCCGGCTTAATTTCACTACGTGCGAGTAGTAATTTGGTTACTGCCCCATATCCATTGCCGGCAGCCCAGGATAGTGGGGTTCTACCATATCGAATATCCTTCGCATTAGGATTGACCTCCTGCGCAAGAAGCATTGTCGCTACATCTGCAAACCCGCCTCCAGCGGCCAGTGAAAGTGGTGTTCTACCATCATTGTCTGTCTTGTCCGGGTTCACGTTTTTCTGCTGTAGGAATGTCTTTACGATTCTGTCGTACCCATTCGCAGCGGCGCATGCGAGAGCTGTCTGGCCACGGCTGTCGGCCTGATCAAAATATGTGTCTATTTTCAATAAGCGATCCACTATATCCGCTTTGTCGTTCTCGGCCGCCCAAAGAAGTGGTGTTCGACTATCGTTGTCCCCAATGCAGAAGGTGGCAGGGTCTTTTTCAAGAAGTACCTCCACTATCTCCCGGTGACCATTTCCGGCAGCCCATGAGAGCGCTGTTCGGCCTCCATTGTCTTTCCCGTGCGGGCTCACGCCTGTGAGAGCCAATAGCATTTCCACCACCTCTAGATTTCCACTCCTAGCAGCCCATATTAGCGGCGTACAGCCCGTAAAATCCTTTCTGCTCGTATCCCATTCTCTGAATTTCAGTAACGAGGCTGCAATCTCTGTAGTTCCGAAGAGTGCTGCAACATGCAGTCCCGTGAACCCCGTAGGCTGAACCCCATCTCCGTCCCGGAACCACCACCCCTCCTCACGGCATATCTTTGAAAGGAGTAGGCTAGCCGATATGTGGGAATCGTATTGATCGAGGAGCCTGACCGCAAGTAATTTTCCAGTATCTGTGGTTTTCGCTCGGGCGTGAGTCCCCCAGTAATGAGACGCGTATTCGAGCAATGGGGTTTCTACAGTGTCTTCGGAGTAGGAGGGCGAAAGGTCCTTGACGGACTGAAGGTTGAGATAAGTCAAACACACATCTGCGATGGTTCCATGAGGACTTGGGAAAAGGGTCGAATGTTTTCGTAAATAGTCCTGTAAGGTAAGGTGGATCAGGCGCACCGTCGAAGCTTCTTTGCCGACAGCGACTAGTCCTATGCAGCAGCTTAATATGGTGTGAATTGACGGAACGTTATCAGGATCAAAATGGGTGGACCCAATTTCCACCGCCAAGGCGTGGCGAAGCTCATCGACTCGCAATGGCCGTTCGGATCGAGAAATCCACATTAATGCTTGCAAGCCGAGCGTCGATTGATTTCCACCCTGCTCCTTTATCCGTTTCAGAGTATCGGTGTAAGCATCCTCGAGGCCCTGGCCCCTAGTCGTCTCCTTGAGCTTCTCTTTCCTCTTACAGATAGTCGGCTCTCGTAGTATTGCTGCGATATTCAACGAAACCAACAGAAATCTAGTCACTATTAGTGGCAAACAACCGGGGTACTCGATGCAGTTTCATATACGCACATCTCTGACATCCTTTCCGGAATCACTTCCATGATATCTCGTTTGAGCTCACCGTCCATCTCCTCATCTAATTGATCATCCTGCAGTTGGAGGTCAAGGTATCTTCTGATATCCGCTTTTCTGGGTTTGAATAGTATAATATGTAGAGCCCCGCTAAGGCATTTCTCGAGCTTAGACCGGATATGTGGTCTTCCTGTCACAAATAGTCGAATGTTCGATGAACTCGTGACTATGGAGTGTAGTGAGCGAAGGAATTCACGCCAATGCTTTGCCCCACACTCGTCCAAAGCATCGATGCATATAAAGGCGCGTTTCTGGGACATAAGAGTTGCCTGTAGTAGCCTGAGAATCTCGGGAACTGGGAGGCCTCGATCATCGGAACCTTGTTTTGACTTTTGAAAAGCACCTTCGATCTCCGCAGGAATAACCTCTAACCCACACACTGCTTGCCTGAGGAGGCTTCCGAGCATATGCGCCGTGTCTCGGGATTTTTGGGTCCGGGAATCGCAATAAAGGTAGGTGACAATGCTACCAATTCCATCACTCTCATCGCACAATCTATCAATTACCAGGGAGCTGCTATTCTTGTTAGCGATACATATCCCTTCCAAGGACCTGCTTGCCCTTGCCTTAGATAGGTCTTGCCTACTCCCGGGTCTCCACAACAGAACAGAGTTGGGTTGACGGACCCATCCTCGCAATCCCGCCACTTCAAAAATTCGTCGGTTTGTAAAAGCCATTCCCCAATCCCATCGACTCTGCTGTGCCGGATGTCCTGATGTCTTTTGTCTTGTTCGTTTCCCTTTGACTCCAGGGAGGATAGCCACTCCAGGATCTTGGGTTTCCTATCGGGTGTTGATTCTATAATGCAGTCATTCCAAGTATTGTTATGACTATTAATCACATTTCCACAATTATTATTCCCTGTCCCACCCAAATATCCGCTTCTGGAATCGCCCATGTAGTTTGAAGTCGTTTGCGTGCCTTAGGGTCGGTATCGGACGTAATAAAGAGGATGAAGGGGGGCTTTGGGGGGCCAGGTACTATGCTATACGATTAATTCTTGGGGAAAGGAGGGGTTGTTGTACTGTGCACGCGATTTAGTTTTTTTTTGGCAACCTTATTTCTTCCGTGCCAAGGGCAGCCACACCACGTGCGTGCGCAGTGAATCCAAGTAAATGAACACGAACTGAGCCCCTCTCACTCCGCGAAAGAGTTTGCCCAACTGGGGTTCCCTGACTTCTCTCGGGTTGCTAGTAGCGCACTAACCTACCGCAATATCAGAGTGGACATCTACTACAAAGAAGGGTCCCGCCTCCATCCCCATCCCGAACTGCGAGGATAACCGAAACTAGAGAGCTTCATCCCATCCCCCTCCGGATGCTTGCAGCGGGTTTTCTTATCCTTGCGAGACAGGGGATCCAACCACTTTGCTCACCGATTTTGGCAACGGGTACGGAGATCGGGACTTCTATGGTCCTCCTTTGCTTCGGAGCACGAGATCTGGCGACAGGACCCTTCATTTTGGCCGCGACTCAGACACGGCTTAGGGTGGGGGGAGTTAAGAGCTTGGGACATTCGAGATGGTGCGGCTGCGTCCCGCTCTCAGAAATTTGGTCATGCTCGGCACGCCGCCTTGTGGAAGAGGTACCTTAAGTTAATATCAAATCCTCAAAACAGTTTATAAAACTGGGTACAAATACGCTGCCTTTCCATAAATATTTGTGTTTGGCACCCCGTTTTTTTTGTTTCTCCCCCAATATTTTAGGCTAGGGTATTATAGATGGAAGTAGCTGTAGGGTTAGACTAAGTTATTAGACCTGACTGTGCAAGCTACCCGCGAAACAAATATCTTGGGAAATATGTGGCCTGGTATGGGCAATGCTGGTATCGGAGCTAATTGAGATCTTGTCCATTTTCTCGTGAATCGAGGTTGCGAGAAGGGGTTTTATTCGGAGTGGAAAAGAACCATTGGACACTGGAACTCTCCTGCGGGCCAGGTTTGTGACAGCTGTGGGCACGAGAAATCCCGAGGATCCTCGGACCATAGGATTCTCCAACACGCCCCAAAGCATGCCGTTCTGGTCGATTCTGTTTCCACTAATGGGTTGTATTCTCTAGTGAAAGGGGATCATCTCGGCTTCACGAGAGTATCTCCCCTATTTTCCCGGGAATGGGAAGGGTTTAACAGTTTTAATGTTCCGCTCCGAGGCGCCGAAGGATGTTTTATATTTTAGCAAACCAACTAAAAACGCGGTAAAGGTTAGAAAGTCGCTATTCCTATGGCACGCTGGGTGGGGCCATAAAGAGGCAAGCCACAACTTAAAGCTATGCTACGAGTAAACCGGATAAACCTTTGCAAATCAGTTTAGTAAACTGGCATAACTCTTCCACCGATCCTACAGATCCGGGGGTGGCCTCCCCGATTGCCTGCTCCCTGATCCCGGCGACCGGATTAACGGATGCAGCTGCTACTGCCTCACCGGTATCACAGCGTTCTTTCGTTTGTATCAGCCGGGGGTAGAGAGACTGTTTTTGGCTGTACTTGTATTTATCTTCTAATAACCAAGGGAGGAGATCCTGGGTGTTTTAGCGTAAGGTCTAGCTCTTCTAGTTTTTACACCACGGAGATCATATGTGGCGGCGCGGAAAGAAGAAAGGATCCAAACGCTTTATCAGTAAGGGACAGGTGGAGGAGAGAAATTTTACGACAGAAGAGTCATACCAGAAGAACCCTAATGGGTAATGGTGGACTGTGCACTGGATAGTTAGTCTAGGATTTCCTCCTCTTGAAACGGGGTAGAATATGCACCAAAAACGTGCTTTCCAGGACAAATAATGCACTGTATTTGTACTCAGGTGCTGAGCTACACCCAAATCGCCGGAGAGTAAGGTACTTTGAACTAATACTGAGACTGGAAGAGGCAAGTCTAGCGTCGTAAAATAACTGCCCGGCTATTTGAGTTCTTATGATAGTGGCATTAGGAGCTTTAGATAGGCGCGGTGGGAGAAGGATATGCATGATTTGGCGAAGTAGCATCAGAGGAGAAGCTACTTTTATTATATAAGGGCTTTTATTCGCTCGCAAGCCGGGAAACATCCTCACAATGGATAAGATCTGATAGATATTACTATCCTTCCCCTCTCTCATTCCCATTCTAATCTTATGAGAAATTCACGGTGCACTGTCGCCTTCCACTTGCTCTGAGCAGGCAGCCTCTCTAATTACGACCTCGTTCTCGGTTTGGTGCATAGGGTGGATACTCGAATCAACAATCCGCACGAAAATCCGGTGCACCTCCCGGACCCGAGGGATGGCCACACGGTTTCCCTGGCCACTTTGCAGCCCTGCCCCATTTCGAGCGCGGCAGCTGTTCCCTGAAGTGTAAGATGCCTTGCACCCGCGACGACTGTATTCGTGACTCATCGAGAGTTCTGGGGGTACGTGCCGTCGTGATTGAGACCCTCGGTGTGAAATTCCACTAGATCGCGCGACCGAGCAGCGGGAACGTGGGTAAACTTTTCCGGCAAGTCATCCTCACTATCCTCTAAAATCTCCGCAGCACGAGAAAGGCGAAGGGATGTCCAATGTGGAATACTTGGGGGGGTTGCGGAAAAATGGTCCGATCGCCTAGCGCTCTCCTAGACTATCTCAGGATCGTTTATTCTATTTTCTGTATTAGATGTAGTAGCGTTGACTTCGTCCTCCCCTTTTCCAACCGGGTCGTCTTTGCGAGTGAGCAAAATCGTATTTCAGTTTTGTGGTTGCGGCGCGTATCGTGCAATAGCAAGGAATTTCAAGGCTGAGTTAGAAGGTTGCGATTTAGCAAGTGGGATCACGTGACCGACGTGAGGAGTGGTAGCCACCCCTGAGCAACAACACTCTGCAGAGCCGCAATTTCTTGGCACGTTTTTAAACACCTGGCCAATAATGCCCATGCAGCGGAAAGCATCAGTAACGTAAGAACTCGAATAAAGGGTCCTTTTGCTATGTAGTCCAGAATTTCCTCCCCTGGATAAGGGGCGAGAAACTCACCAAGAAGTCTGCTCTCCGAGACAAATGGAAAGGGGGGAAACACCCGACCTTGGTAGAAGTGGCAAGTCCA